ATAATGCGTAGTGTAACAACACAGTATATTTATTCTTAAACAAAAAATAACTATTTACTAGTAAAGTAGATCAATCTCCTCCGTATTGGCGTCCGCCTTTTTTACATTCTCAATCACACTTCTTTATAACGCGATATTTGATTGGTCGAAAAAAGCTGTAAGCAAATTAAATTTTATGGTTGGTCAAGAGGGAAAACCCGAATAAATCTCTCGGTTCTTCATTTGAGGTGAACACACTCTAAAGTTCATCTCAGGAAAGAGTGTCTAGACTAATCAGAAATCACCAAAATTCCTGATTCCTGATAATTCAGACGCATCGTATCCTTTTGTGTTTAGTTAATACATTATATCGCATCAATTTGAATTTAAAACATGAAAATAAGTAAAAAAAATTAACTTGCTAAGAGTAAAACCTTTTTTCATCCCTGCCACAAAATGCAAAATTTGGAAGCGTTTTAGTGCCATTTTGACATTTTTTTTTACATTTTACACATTAGTCTGTACATTTCACACGTTAATCTATAATCTATAAAATTTAAACTTAAATTAAATTTAAAGAATAAAGTGTAAAATTTACAGATAAAAGTATTGGTTAAAATAAAAAAAAAAATAAATAAATGCCCAACTAGCTTCCGTACTTTCAATGTATAAGATGATACAGTCTGAAATAAAAAAAGAAACATATCTCAAGTTACTCAAGTTAGATAAAGTTAGTCCCAAAAATTAAGAAACCTTTATGTCCATTTATGCAATTTAGAATTTTTTTTGTCAGCGTTTTTACAATGACTAATAGATCATAAGGACAGAGTGCAAAGAGTTAATTTTAATGAATAATGTATATAAATACTTTGTTTGCACAATGACAGTAAAATGAACAATTGCATAGCTATTTGCTAAATTATTAACCATCATCCAAAAAGATATCAGATCATTCGACGAGTTATATCGGGAATTTCAAATCGATTTATAAAAATTAAAAAATAACAAATTATACACCTTGATCAGTTATGGTATGGTCCCTACTAATATCATAACATAGTGAACTTTCAAGATATACCATTGATGGTAAAATCATTACTGTGCTTTTTAAAAGATACACTGTAATTTTGTTAACATTTTTTAAACGTTTTACACTTCTTAATACATGTAACTGAGAAAATGATTGCACACTTTGGTGTAGTGGTTATATGTTTGCTATGATGCCACTTATAGTAAGAAGTTAATGCATGCACGTTGCTAAAGACTTCGAAACCCACTGCCGGACGTGGTGAACGTCCTTGGAATGAGACACTATTAACCAAGATTCCGTGTTGAAGAAGGTGCTGAAAGAAAATACCCCTCACTACTCGAAAACCTTACATGTAAGAGCAGAAAACAGGTCTAAATTAATGTCCCTTTACCGTCAAGTGGTGGCGTCTCAATATTACTGCAAAAAATCGAAGAGACGATAAACAAAAAATCAAATTATTAAACCAATCATTACATACTCATGAATGAATGCTTTATATGATAAAGCAATAAACTGTTCTTATCCGCATGTTGTATATAAGTAATCCAAATTCTCGCCTAATACGTTTTAAAAAGACCTTTTCAGAAATTAACTTGATTAAAATGTTTTTTTTCTTTCCATTATACTGTCTTATCTAGCCCATTTATTTGGAACGATTGGTGTCCGGATTAGACAGGTTATTTAATTTTTCTTCTGAAAGTTAATCTTTTAAATGACCGATTACTAGGAAAAAAATGTGGTAAACGAAAAGAGTAAAAAAATATTCTCCTCTTGTTACTTCAAATGCAAATGGCAAAATGTTATCATCGTTCAAAAATCTTCGCCGTTTTGAAGTCACTGAAACGCGCATAAAGCATGTTTAATAAGGGGGATAAAAATGAGTGCACAAATCCTTTTCATAGAATGTTAATCTCAGTTTTTATCTCCATTCTGCATGTTCTGGATTCCTGCAAGTTCTTTCCTTTTGGGGTCTATTTTTTGTTTACGGTAAAACACATTTCTCAATTAAAACAAGTAAATTTTACGATTTTTTTTTTTATAGTTTTAAGGCAGAGAGGAAGATTTGCAGGATTTTCCCTTTATATATCCAATACTACAAAGAAAGAAGATGGTTCACTTTGCTACAAAGATGGTCCTGACTTACCTCCCTTAGATTTTAACACAACTTGTGTCGGAAATGCTCGTTACGTTATTTTCTATAATGAAAGATTACCAGAGGTTGTTTATCCTAAAGAATATGCAATGTCTTCCTTTACGGAATTATGTGAAGTGATTGTCCTAGGTAAGCAAGAAAATTAAGTAAGAATAAGAGATAATACGTGACTGCTATTTGTTTGCTAAAAAATGATGCCATTTACGACAATCGACAATGAAGAATAATAATGTTTATTAAAGGATATCGATCTACAATAAACATATCTATTTTCAAATTATTTATAGGCTGTTTGAAAGAAGGAGTCTACGGCGTTGACTGTGATTTGCAGTGTCCAGAAAATTGTCAAGAAAAAAGATGTAATATTGTAAACGGAACATGTCTTGGTTGTCGACCCGGTTGGATTGGAGAATTTTGTGATACAAGTGTGTAACAAACTATAAAGAAATGCATATTGAACCTACAAAAGATTAAGTAGGACATTAAGCTTTTTTTCTTTTTATTTATTCTATCCTTTCTAGAATGTTTGACGGAGTACTATGGTCTTCAGTGTGAGTATACATGTTCAGGAAACTGCATGGATGGCGTTACTTGTAATCAGGTGACTGGTCAATGCGATAATGGATGTAAATCTGGATGGACAGGAAGACAGTGTAATGAAAGTGAGATTTAAATAAAATTATAACTGAACAAACCTTAATAGTCAATCCATGAAAAATATACTTGAATCCAACAAACACTAAAATTAATTTGCTTGTGGTTGTAGTGTAAATACTTAATATGAATTATGACGAATAATCGTAATTGCATGAAATAAGAAGAAGAAAGATTGGATTCGATTTGATGTTATAAATATTTGTTAAATTTATCATCAAGTGTAATAAAATTTTAATTTAGCATGTAAAGCTGGAAAATACGGCCAAAATTGTTCCGCTTACTGTAGTGTTAATTGCCTTAACAATGATCCGTGTAACAAGACAGATGGGCACTGTGACCTTGGTTGTCTCCCTGGGTTCACAGGTGACCTCTGCAATAAAGGTATGCTTAATCCAATAGATATCTGAGTACAACATTGATCATCAGCAAGCTAAAAGTAAGCTTAGACAGGTTTAATTGAAATGGTCCAAGATAGGCGAAGAATCCACCAATGGATCCAGTGATTCATGAAACTTGTGAAATAGTATTTATCAAAACTAATAACAGTAAAATATGAATTGTAATCCTTGGCAAATTGATAACGCCTAGAGCACATTGCATATCTTGCGGCGGCATCTTCTTACTTATACTCGTATATCTAATTCGTTTTGTAATTTTTCCATCATTTCAGATTAATCATTTTTTGCATAAACCTCATTATGATATTTATACAATGTACGTTTAATTTGTATGGTTATAGCATTGTCAAGAAAAATAAATTTATAAGCAAGATATGAATATATGGTTCGAATTATTGTTCAATGTTATTGTTCAACGGCACTGCTCTATTTTCTTTCATAGTTTGTTCTGCTGGAACGTTTGAATACGATTGTGTAAATATCTGTAGAAGTCAATGTATTCATAACGAAACTTGTAGCCCTTCTAGCGGTCTCTGTGAAAATGGTTGTTCCCCCGGTTACTATGGACCTCAATGTCGTAAAGGTATGTAAGATGTACTGTAGGCAATAATTTAATGAGACAACATGCAACAAATTTTTTAATCCTCGTCATACGTCCTACGATCGAAACATTCGTTTCTATGGCAACTGCCATTGAGGTTATATTTTAGATATTTAAAAATGTTTTTGATTTAAAGGATTCAAAAATTGTCTATATTCTTATTTGTTATTCTCAACCGTTTTCACTAATAAATGAAAAATATATGAAGAAATTCCACGAACTTTTGGATCAACCCTCGTAAATGAAGGTAAATGAAACGAACAGTATTCAAGCTAAAAAAAAAAGTCCATTAAACCTTTGCAAATCAGAAGCAGAGTAAACATGGACCTCTTAACCATCAGATGTGGGATTAAGTGCAATCGTGAAGTGAGCATCCCCTGTCACCGGTCACACCCATCTTGTAGTCATTTTCATAATTGTGAAATAAAGGAAAAATCCGTTGACAATCCAGAGCTTTGATTATGGCGGAAAAAGAGTACGAAAAACATTGGTCATGTATTTGATTTAATGAAAGATTTTATTTTCTGACTAATGTATCGATATTCTTGTTTCATCATCTTGTTTATCTTGTTTGTCAATACCTCAACTCCTTTTAGAAATTAATCACTCGTATAGCATGCCCTGTATCCAATCAACTAGGAGAAGTAAACACCGTATGCAGGTGATAAGGTTATATTGCTGCATAAGTAAGGGGAGTTTTTTTACGATTGGGAAGTTAGTCATGGCGTTTAAAATAGGGATTTGTTTTAAGACTACACTTAATGTCTTTTCTAGTGACATATCCAAATATGAAAAAGTAGTAGATTGAAAATGTTTACATGTCAATGGTTTGAGAACATGTTATTCACCTATTGCAGTTTGCCCTGATGGTACATTTGGAAATAATTGCTCTGAGACTTGTTCCAGGAATTGCATTGGTATTTGCAGTCACGTGGATGGTTCCTGTAATTGTGTTCCTAGTTATACAGGATCACCGAACTGCACGACTGGTAAAATATTTCACACTTGGAAATACATAGAGTATAATTATTCTCTCCAATGGATCCGGAATAAGATGGATGTAGTAAAGTAATATTAATTTTGTTTATTACATTGTAGTATGCCAAACGAAAATGGTCGAAATTAGCAAGGAGATCGATGTTAAATGCTGTCTTGATTTAAAGTTATGACCTTTTTGAAGAAAGGCTCAACTTGCGAAGACCTTTATTTACTTTTTATTTCTAATATCTTTTACTTGATTTTTTTATTTAATTTTCTAACGAAGCAAAATGTTGTATATATCATACTAAATCTTTACGGTTGTCTTTTTGAGGTATAAATTTTCAAGCGCCCTTTATATCTTTCTCTCCAAACTTTTTAAAGTTGAAAATACAATTTCCATGTACAAAAGGACAGAATGTATCCCTACCAGAGGTAATCAATAGCATCTGGTAGCCGGAGTTGTATCACGTTCTGGAGCTCTTCTATGAAATGCTTGACAAAATATTGATAATTAAAGAGTTAAATATAAAAGTGTTTTGGCCACTCTGAGCCCCTCATTCGATGCACCATACATAGTTTGAATATGCAAACAATGTTTATTTTTTCATTAATTTACATTTATATTGACTTTTTAAATTAGCCTAGATTCAACGAGAAACATAAGCAATTTTATTCAAAGATTCAATTTGATAAAAGATACTTAAAGTAAGTTCTTATTCGTAGAATGCCCCCAGGGTTCATACGGGATAAATTGTCAGTATAGATGTAGTGGTCACTGTTTACATGATGAGACATGCAGTAAATTTGATGGCAGTTGTTCTCAGGGATGCAAAGACCAGTACATCGGGGTTGCATGTGATTTTCGAAGTAAGTTTAACTTTCTGCTTTTTTTTGCGTTATCATCTAAATTTGAAAAAAGCAATTAATTATATTAGAACCACTGTACCAATACAATTTTCTTTCTCCAGATGACACTTCATTAAGTGCTTCGACGATAGGACTTGCCATAGTGGTGGTTATACTCATCATACTCTTGATTGCTGTATCAGTTTTTTTCAAAAGGTATTGTTCTGATGATCATAATATGTAGGGAAGAATATATACTGGTATATGATTTTAGAAATAAAATTCATAATGAGCATTAAATAACCTTTCTTTAGATTAAAATGAATTTTTTCAAAATATATTTTAAAAATATATAATTTGGTCATTTGTAAAATAAAATTTCAAATAATTCATGAGTTGCAAAACTTAACTTTTTTGCAGTTTATCTATTAAATAACTTTCAAAACAAAGATACAGGTCATCGTTATAAAAAGAAAAAAATACTCGCACAACATTTTTTGCAAAGGACATTTTATGTATTCTAAGAACACGAAATATTTTACTTGGGCAACAGATATATTGTCTTAATAAGTCAGGTCCACATTATCATGAAAGCCAATACATGCTCTTTTTAAAGAAAAATTATACTAGCTAACATAAATTGTAATCAAAATAATCTTCAATGCTATGAAAATGGTGAAATATATGTCATAATTATGTTCTTGTAGGCAACATCATTGTGTGAGTTCAGAGAGGAGATCGCTACAGGCGGATCAAATGGATAAAGATAATGTTAAGATTCAGACACTTTCAACAAAAGACCTTTCATTTAGTTACCAGGACCTAAATGTGTCGGACATGAACAACACTTATGAAACCGTTGATCTGTCTGACACTTTTTGTGCCTATCAGAACCTTGACTTTACAGGATAGATTTGTTTAAAACTCATTTGAAAATAAATCACAATTATTGTTTTGAAATGATTCTCGAATGCACGTCAATCGAAGGCTACTTATTTTGAATCCCTTTAATGCGTTATAGTGACGTCTTTTACCATAGTATTTGGCTCAAACTATCATTGAATGATTGTTGTGTTTTTGGTTTTAAACATATCTTATCTAAACTAAAACTATATATCGTAATGGAAAGGTTGAGTTTAACAAGAACAAGAAAGTCTTGGGTCATTTCAATGTGAATTGTAATTATTCAATTAGTATATGCAGTTTATCAAACAAAACCATACATGTATGCATAAACAAAGCATTAAGCACAGAATTTCCAGTTAAAGAAATAATTAAAACCTATTAACCTTTAGGATCATCGTACATGTAAAATATCGTGTCGTGCTTTATATTATGCATATTCATTTTATCAAAACTTTTAACTAGAAACATTTCTTATGATATCATTAGAATGATATGAAATTCCATTTACTACATAGACATCATAAGATACAAAAAAATTACCGCAAATATGTTATCTGAACATGTTCTAAATATGATTTCTTCCTAAGTCAGTCATTACTTTAATAAATAAGGCACAAATTTAGTCTGAATGATCATTGAGAAATAAATTAAACCTTATAAAATGATATTTTCCCCACTCTTACTTTATAAAATAACTTTCACACAATATGGTCATAATAAATGTTAAAATGGTGATAATCTGAGCTGTTAAATAAAGTTGTCCATAACGCAGTATATATATTATATATATATTATATATTATTATATTAATATAACGCATGTTTATTTATCAGGAATTCTTTTTAGATGGAGTAAACGTAGCACTGACTCACTTAGGATCTCTTTGAATGAGTGAAAATACTATAATATTGAACGTCTTAACCAAACAAAATTAATACTTAGATTCACCAATACTTGAATAACATTATGGACCGTACATAGTCGCTTAAAAGTCGGTTCACCCATAGAAAAATAAAGAGAAACGCTTCGTTTAATTGATAGATACAGTCGCTCTATCTAGTAAGTATATACGAAAAATATAATGGATACAAATTAAAAATTTAGCTCCAAATGTGCCTTTAACAATTAATGCCTTTATTGATAATAAGCCCTGATGCGAAATAATGTTCTCAGCATTCAGTTTTTCGTCGGTTATACATTTTTAAGAAAAGAATATATTTAGTTATGGAATTTAACAGAGGCAAATAAAATTGTAATTCAACCTTTGAAAAATATTATGGAACTTGACTGGTTACGCATCAAAATCGTTCTTTTCAATTTCTCTAAATACAATTATAAGAATTAGCAGATGCTTTTCAATTTATACATATTCATTTTCTACTCTGACACTTGACTACTCTTTGTTACTTAATTGTTGCTGGTCAATCTTCTGGTGGTCATTCATTTCGATCTTCCCCCTATGTCTTATAATGGTCTTGAAGGACGTACAACTATATACTTAGGTTTTCCGATTCTTATGTCTCTCCGTTTTCTGTCTCTTGTTCAATAGTACATTGTACCTTCAATTTCGATCTTTTACTCAGACTTTCTGTCTTGTACCAAGCTCGAGCTCCATTCTTTCTGCATCTTTGGACATGTGACCTTTTCTTTGGTTCTCTTAGCGTGATCGTCTAGATCTATTTATGAAGTTAAGAAATTCATAACCTTAATTCAAATTCCTAGTAAATTGTTGAACTTCTCGCACGACGCAAGGTATAACTGTTAAACTAAGTCGACATCATAATTTGAAAAAGAATACTGCAGCTTAAAATGGTATTCTCAGATAAGAGGATTTGCGTGTAATACACATTTCAATATGCTTTTGGCATTTTTAATAGATCTTCAAGTCAATCATAATTGCTAAAAAAAGAAATGGTTGCACAATACATACTATATATGCTCCCTTAAGGTTTTTTTTCGGAGTTAAGTTTTGGTCCAAAACTCAGTGTCCGACTAATAGATGAGGCATAGAAAGATTGGCACTTTTTTTTGACGACAAAAGGTAAGATATTAAAGTCAATCCCAACGAATTCATCAAAGTCTTAGTCTTTATATCATTTATATATTCTAAGATCATGCGTAAAATACAAATATTTATTAATTTTGAAAGTTTAATTTTTTTTCTCGAATGTACATTTTTTTAATGATTTAAAATTAAATTATATATCGACATCATATTTTCAAAAATATTAAGAGCATTGATTTCTCAACTATTTCTGACAAAAAGTAGCACTGACTTAAAAGTGCGTCAATGGAAATTCTCTCCCGAATAACTTTAAAAAAAAAACAACCGACTTAATTATCGGCAGACCGACTTATAAGAGAGCATATACGGTAGCCACATTCCGGAGTTTTTAATTCTCGGGTGTCGTTGTTACATGTTTATTTATATTCCAAGACACGCAGGCTTGTTAAGGCAGCACATGGATCAGAATTCGGCGAATCAACACTTTTTTTTATAACATGTAACACTAATAAATCGGAAAAGTCATGGATAAATCTTTTGCTATCATTATGCATTCTATAGACGTCAATGAGACATATACTACAAGAGGCACTACACCACGACGTCACCACGTGACGTCTATAATTAGAAAAAATGCCTTAATGAAAATGTGAGAAGTTCAACACTACCCCGGGGATAATTAATTTAAAGAACAAAGTACGTTATTGGCTATATGCGGCCGAGAAATTTTACTATTTTTAAACTACCATTATTTATGCAAGTCCCTTATGTTTCGTTTACAATAAGATCAAAGCTAAACTCAACTTATATAAAAATGACGTAATATGTTACAGTGACGTCATAATACCACACCAAACAGCGGTTGCTCAGTTAAATCCGTTCATTTTTCATGAAAAATCAGTAAATGTTGATGAAATTGAATATGTTCCCAAGCATTAACCACTTTTTTTTTGTTTATAAAATCTCCGTCCAGTATTAAATTGGTGTCGGTTAATGAGTGGGAACAGTATTCACTTTTAAAAAATAGTAAGTCCGGAAATGAAAATTATGCAACATTACCATACGTTATTTTACGCTAATTTTACACAGTATTTACGTAGGAAATGAATAATATCAACAGCTTTTTTAACATGTGAACACAAACAAAATCATACAAGATAAAATCCACATGTGTTTATAATTATCTTTTAAGTTTATAAAATCCATTTAAATTAAGAATGAACCATATTCTAGTGTCGGGAATTTCATTGATAGCATGGTTCAGAATGTACGCATATAGCGTTATAATCCCTCCTCAATATATGTGCATTTGATGGTGACCTGATAAAGGATAAATCATGTTTGTTTTTTACATATGTATTTTAAATAATCTTTTAAGTTATGCTTTTAATCAAAAGTAGTAAGACTTTACAAGTACATGTATATAGCTATCACCAGCTACATGTACTAGTACGTGATGGTAGTCCTGATGGTTTTTTATTTTTTTATTATTTTTTTTTTTTTCGGGGGAGGGGGGGGGTCATACCGTAATGTGTCTTGAATCGTTCCGCGTTTCCGAATTTGCGAATCTTATTTACCACTGTACTTTGCACAATTCATACTTGAGAATACCCAACAGTCATTAATTACAACTAATACAAACAAAAAATAAACAATATAAATATGTCTACTTAATCAATAAATTCACGATATTATCCATGAACTTGCTATCCTAACCGAGTAATTGTGCCCTTTATGACAATTTTTTTTTCGATGTCGAAGGTATGTTTGATCTACGAAACAGGACATATTATAGAACGGCAATTAAAAGCTACAAAAAATGGTTTTTGTTTCCATTATAACGAAACATTATGAACAGATATATTTACAGTGGAATTGCTGGCCGGGACATATGTAGCGGTAATGATTTGTAGTCGGCAATAGTCTTATTGAAAAAAAATATAGCAGAAAGTTGAAATTTTCGTAATGTAGCGGTAGTTTTGTTGACAATATGAGCACTGTACACACAAGTTTATCTTGATTTATGTAAGATATTCTGTAATATCGGTTTTTGTTCAAATGCCTAGAGTGTAAAATATACCAGCGATCAACTTTATACATGTAATTATACGTTTACCTCAGATTCGCCTCATCATAATGCTTGAATCTTGAGGGGGCTCGGAGTCCCCCCCCCTCCGGTTGCATTTTCAGCATTAAAAAGTATCTTTCCAAAATAAGAAAAAAAACACATTGGAAAACACCCCATCCCCTTGTGAAACACGGATTCCTTGTAACAAGGTAAAACAGCCATGAATCTGAAGAAAACTGAATAAGGAAAGTCCCTTGTCAAAACCACCCCCTTTCCCACAAAATGAGATTTCCTCTAGGCTATTCCTTGAGGTAATATTTGAGAAATACATCAGGCACGTAGCAACGGGGGAGGGGGGGGGGGGCAGGGGTCTGTGATATAAGGAAAATGTAGTATTGTAGGTAAAATAAATTGGTACTGACGGAAATCTGCATTTAAAAAAAAAATTAGCTTCTACACCTCCTACCCCCGCCCCCCCTCCCCCCCCCCCACCGGAAGGTAGGATTTTCAGCTTTGGGCAACTTTTTTTCTCTTTTTTTCTTTTTTTTTTTCAGGTAAGTATTTTTTTTCTCTGACTGCCCCCCCCCCCCTCCTCCCAACTTTCAAAAACGATGCTACGTGGCTGTACATGGATAGTTTACAAGAAAGAGACTCGACAACGGTAGTCTGAAACGATTTATAACAAAAGAAGAAAAATTTCTGTCAATGCGAACTATTTAAAGAAGAACAATGATTGATAAAAAAAAATTCGACCTTATTGAAGCGGAGCGTGTCTGAAACTGATC